TTGTTCAGAACTAAGCAGTTACGATTCCAAAAGCTTTTCCACCCACAACCTCCTCTTTGTTAAACCTTTCTACTCAGCTCAGCATGCTTTTAAAAAAGCATATATTACTTGCAGACCCTGGCTCAAAGGCTCTTTGAAAATGTAACCTTGCGTCACTTCAAAAGCAAAGCTCTACAAAGCCCAGTTCTCCGAAACAGTTGCCAAGGAGACACCAAGTTGTTACAGAATTGAAGACTCAATTAGTCCAAGTGCCCCCACCATTAACTTCCTTTGATTGTTAGACTAATTCTCATCTTTCAAAAGCCAAACAGACAAAAATCATCTCAGGAGCTTTTTTGTAGCCACTTACTTACAAAGTAGTAACCAAGAAAAATGAAACTGTGATGTTTCCAGGTGAAAAGCAGGTCAGTCTGATGCTCTTTCAGAGCCCAAGAGTAACAAAACCAAGAACACTGAGGTTGTTGAGAGAACTGAATCTCTGGAGAAGAACCACATGCCATATTTTAAGAGAAGAGCATAACTATCTTCTGTAGAAGCACAAAGTGTTCCACGAGTCATTGGTGTGGGTACTTACATCTTCACAAGGGTTCTTGAAGGTTGTGTTCTTCACTTCTCATTTGAAATATAAAAAGCCTGTCTCTCTTTTCTGAAAGTGTTTTTGCTGGTTTTAAATAAAGCTTTAAGAACCTCATTTGAGAACACTCTGGCTAAGAGGACAATCTCAGAGCTGAATGAGATTCCTCTGTTGTGAGCTCTGCCTATACAGTAGAAGAATGGGAACCTCAGTTAAAAAGAGTGCTTTCTGACAGGTGCTTGACTACTAATCACAAACACAGAAGCAAGCTAGACCCACAGCTGGATACTTGTGTGCGTGTAGGGGTGCCATGATAACAACCATTGTGTTACAGTTCATGCACACCTTGACTGTTGCTCTTGTATTCTTAATTACTGTTAGAGCTGCAGCTGCATTTTTACAGTACCATCATAGGGCTGCTGTGTTAATTTAGTCTGTCAGCTTCTTACCGTTTAACATTTACTTGCCTTTTGCTTTTTGCTTACTTAGTCTGTGCTTTTCATCTGCTCATGCATGTATGTCATGGCATAAGATTTTATATATTGATTCAGTAGCCTCGAATATCGCATCCAGTGGTCACCTCCATTGCTGAAAGCATCTTGGCTGCACTTGCTACCCAAGGGATGTTCTCTTGGCCAGAGTCTACTGGACAAGCTTTTTAAGGGACAGCTACTCTGATCTTCCCTCCATTTGCTGAAGAGTCCTGGTGAGGTCAGGAAGAAAAAAAACTTCTGAAGCTTTTATACGAAATGGTTTTGCTTTGCAATTCACATTTAAGTGACTAGCTTGATCATGGAAATCATCTAGATCAGTGTTTCTCAACCGTTTAAGTAGCAAGTACCCCTTAACTTCTGAAAATTTTAATAAGTACTCCAACGCTCAATTTTCCAGGGGATTTTATATTTACAGACTAATGTGTGCCATATGTTGGAGGAAGGTCTGTGTATATAAGGCTGTGATGTGACAGCTGTCTGATCTGGTGTGGGTAGGGTTGCCACCTTTTACACCAGGGATGCACAACTCAAGTATGTACCTGAGCTAGAAGTGATGCTGGCCAAAGCTAGGAGGGCTGAACCCAGTGCCATGCAAAATGTGGCACACCAAATTATTACGAGGGAATCTGAATTTTCTGCCATAGTTTTGAGAGGAGGAAGGGGCAAGAAAGAGTGGAAAAGAGGGTAAGACAGAGAGGAAAAGGTGAGAGAGTGTTGAGGTACCTGTGTACCCCCTGCCTGTGTCTTGCGTACCCCCAGGGGTACACATACCACAGGGTGAGAAACTATGATCTAGATCTCTCTCTTCTACCACAAGTCCAGTTTACTTTATGTTGGTGAATCCAATCTGAGAGATAAGAAGCCTTACTACTCCACAATTCAGACAAACTGGGACATGGGTGAACCTGGGAAGATGTCTTCAAAACCACTGGCACAGAGACCAAGACTTGTAAATAGTTTGCATGAAGGTTAAAGAATCTAAAGAAGCTGCCTGAAGCAAGCCCATTTCATGCACAAAAGATCAAAGGTCTGCAAGACAAGCAGATTCTGCACTACTTTCTAGTGCTTGTCTTTAAATTATGCAAAATGCATAATATGCTAGTTTACAAATTAGCTAATTACTAATTTGCAGTTTTCTGAAATGGGAGTAAATGCACTTTTCAGATTCAACTACGGGTACTGCCTGAGAAGGTGCATAAAACCTCTAACTGCCCAGTGGAAGCAGCTACTGCCTCATCAGCTGGAATCTAAAGTCTGTTAATGCAATACCTATTGTTGGGCAATGCAAGGACTGCTAAAGCAATGAGTAAGTCAGCCTGTTCATAACAGGTTCTGTATTGTTCTACCTACAATGATGGGATGTTGGCCGGATAGTAAACTGCAAAACAGAAACAAAGATGGAAGTCTACTTTTGTTTCTGTTCTGAAGGCTGAAAGAGAAAAAGACTCTTTTCCCATTGATCTCTAAACTAAGCACTTAATTAGGAACCTGATTAGATTCTAATTAACAACCATATCAAGTGCTGGAAAGCAGGCTCCTGAGAGAGGAATGCTAGTTAGGGTAATGAATAAAGGAGCAGGCACTGGAGGTTTAACTGCTTTTTCCAGATCCTTGGCAATGCAGTTCTCTTTCAGTGATAGTTGGCACCATTTTATTTCAGGTGTATGGCCCCAAGTATCCAAGTTTCCAATTGTGGAATCTAACAGAGGAGCCTCTAGCTCAGGGGCAGGCAATTATTTTGGGTGGAGGGCCACTTACTGAGTTTTGGCAAGCCATCAAGGGCTGCATGACAGGCAGCCCAGGGCAGATAAATATTAATTTTCTAAATGTTGTAGTGGCCCTGCAGGCTGCATTTTGCCCACCCCTGAAGCTCTACATACTTGATGATAAATGTCCCCTTTTATTCCAGAGCTGCAAAACTCTGCTACCTTATTTGGCAACAAATGGAACATTTTTCTAATCTATAAAAGTTAAATAAGTTCTCATAGAGGGGCATTTTTCTTTTGATATTTTATAAAAAACATTAGATTGTAACAGATAGAACAATTTTTAAACCCCTTCCACTTGCTGAAATACATTTTAGAATGTCCACTATTATTAGTTATGCTGATCCCCTATTGCATCTCAGTTGAGGAAATGAAACACTGACTACTGAGTTTCACTTTTGTTTCTCATCATTCATCTTCAGCTTACAGTACAAAAGCACAATGCTATTTCATTTGCAAAAACTACAGGAGAACATTTACTTCCAAAATGGAATTCAATTTTATTCTAATTTTAATTCTAATTTTACAAAATGGAATTCAATTTCATTCTAATTTTACCCAGCACTCTTTCCTGCCTCTGCAGGGGGTCGGACTCGACGATCTATAGAGGTCCCTTCTGACCCTAACATCTATGAATCTATACTTCAATGCACAATTTTATAGGGAAAAAACAAAGCTTCCACAAAATCTACCTTGAGGGAAGATCTGACAGTATGCTCAAGAAGAGATTTCCTGGGAAAAACAGGGGAAAAGTCGTGGAATTTCAGGGCTTTGGACATTTTTGTTATCCTTCTTCAGTATCTCAACTCAAATTTTGGTCTATGCTGCTCCAAAGGATCTTTACAATCTAAATAGGTCTTGTTGCCACCAATCTGCCTTTACAAAGACAGTGTCCTTTTGACAGTAAAGATGTGAATGTATTCCTCTCCCCAGTAGAAAGGATGTGCTTGAAAGCCTTTTGTACAGACAGGTAATTCTCAATTGGGGTGCCCCCACACCCCAACATTTGGCCCCTATGCGAGGAGGTAAACACTGTAATAAAGAAATGAGTTTTGTAAATGAGTGTCATGAAATTCAGATAAGCTTATGGAGGGGTGTCCAGGATCTAAGACGACTGAGAACCATTGGCATGGGCATTCTAAGGTAGTCACCCACACTGAGGCTGAAAACTGGTAACATTATCTTGACATTTTTTTCCTACCCATCTCTTTCCAGGATAAGATTTCTGTACAGGTACCCTCCATAGACAGTTTCTCAGTATGCTGCTTGCTTTAGCCAGAAGGAATTTAAAGTTTCCTCTGCCTTCTTCAACCTTAATTTCCCAGAACATCCTAAAGCAGCTGCGACAGAAAATGACAACAGAGCATCGGCTGGAGTGCAGCTGAGGTGCTGTTAAATCACAAAGCCTGCACTTCACACTAGAGACTTCCTGATGACAATAACCTTTCAGTATCTCATTTCAACTCTGCCAAACATTAGGAAGGTCAGAACAAGCTTGCAAATACTTTTAACTCTTGACTAGAGTACAAATGGCATAAACAATTTATTTTCAACAGCAGAGCATGACACATCTTCCCCCCCACTCCCCCAATGGTTGGATCTGGTAGGACAAAAATCTTTAAAAAAAAAGTACCACAGTCTATTAAGTCCCCAGCACATGGCCACACACAACACACACTCTCAATCTCATAAATCCCACTCTGCTGCTTGAGATGGCCAAAAATCTGATACAGCTGTCTGAATTAATTTCTCAGATGCAGCTCCCTCTGCTACTGCAGAGACAGAAGGCTCAGACATTCAAAGGTATTTAGGTACTAACTTCCAGTGAAATCAATGCAAGTTAAGTGCTTAAATACTTTGAAGATCTTGGCCTAAGAAACCAGAAGACTGATCATGCAGTGCACTGCAAATGTATAATGCTCAGTACTGGGGTACTGACATTTCCCAACAGGTCTGTTGGCCATGCATGTGGGTCAAATGTAGCTATTCAGTCTAGCTTTCTGGTGCATTAACAGAATATGTTTGTAGACAACTGAGATCCTTTATACCACTGCTAACCTAAAATATTTGGCACCAGTGGGAGAAATTCTGAATCACTGTAAGACACTACACTATAATCAGTGGATTGTAAGGTGCACCACGATCAGCAAGACAGCAGACACTTACAGTCGCAGCTCCTCAAAAGACTTCACTGAGTAGAGAGGTGACGTGGGATCTCTCTGCAGTACCTCCACTTGGTTTGTTGTGTCAACCAGGTTACTGCGGATAAGCTTGTTTAACAAGGACTGGGCAGCTCTGTCCTCTGCAAGGGAAGGAGGTACAAGTCAAGGGTTATTTTTTTTTTTTTTAATTTACAGAGGGAAGCTCCTATAAACAAAGCAGCTCACAGAACCAGCCTTTCTGCAAAGAGAAGTTTTCCCAGGGCTATTATAGAAACAGGATAAACTCCCAGTACTCAGAGTATAAACAGCCAGCTGTTCTATCCTATTCCTCATTCCAGATATTTCTGTTGTCTTATTTCTCTTTTCCCCCAACTCCAGACTGTTCTCTCTAGAATCAATATAGAATACCATCATTTTCCCAATTTTTAGTAGAAATATAGCCCAAATCACTCCTTTGGGCAAATTCCAAAGATACCCATCCTCTGAGATAAGGTAGGGGATCTTTAAAACCATTCATAATGAATCATTTTCCAGTTTCCCTTGTCAGTGCCTCTCCTTCGCATTTACCTTTTTCCTCATCCTCTGTTTTCTCTGCGTTGTCATCTGCTTTGACAACAGCACCTACATTCAGACAGACAGCAGTTACTGGGGCAGTTTCAAACAAGCCAAGACAAAAATTCAATTGCACAGGCCCATTCACACACAGGCAAGTTTATTTTTACAGTGATATGAAAAAATAAAATCAAGACTGTCAACCAGTTCGGTAGCACTTTTATAACATAGCTTTGCTCAGGCTTCATAGGCAAGATTTAAGCCTCTATAAATTAAAGCATGGCTCTCCATCATGAGAATCTGGCTGTGTAGTTTGGTCCAACCCAATCAATCCACAGCATTTGGCTTTCACACCAACCTGGATCCATCAGTTTTAGTCACTAGAGCAATCTCTCTACCACATTTAATATTGATTAAACATTACTGAGAGTTAACGATACTGTTTGAACAACAAACCATTAAAGCAGGCACTCAAACTAGATACTTAGCCCAAACTACTATTTAATTCTCTAGCTTTCTGCTTTCCACCTTTTGGAAGGTTGCTAAACTATTTCCTGCCTGTCAAAGGCTATAGTGTCTCAGGCCAAACACACACCGAAGAAATATTGCCCCTTAGAACTATCAAGCTCACCATTGGAATCTGGTTTGGTTTTCTCCTCCTTCAGGTGCAGGTTGCTCAACTGTAAACATGGGAAAAGATTTAAATAATGAAAAGGGATTTAAAAAGCTGCTGTGGACACATTCAGGAATCCTAATGTGGCCAAGCAAACAGTCGAATTTCCATTTTGATACAAGTTCTCCAATCTGCACAAACAGCACATGGGCCCTGGTAAAGTTGCCAAGCGCTAACGTCACAGAAACTGAAAAAATCCACCCCCGAAACAGCAAAAGGGGGTGGCTCAGTGCACATGCCCTTGAAATGGACTCGCAAACTGTCACATTGTAGACTGGTCTCAGAGGTGGCAGTTTCCAGAAAGAAACATTCCTACGACTCTGCTATTTTCTGTTACCACATCATGCATCGGAGACTACCAGGAAGTATGCCGACAAAAAGCTGATGTGGGGAATTTGCGCTCAAAGGTGGTAACTTGACCTGGTAGTAGCCACATTACAATGGTAGCAGAGCCATTAACTCAGTGCTACACATTGGAAACCACCATCCGCAGTTGCTAAAGGGATGTTTATTTTATTGCTGACTATGATACTGGGAGGATCTTAATACTTCTAGCATGGGTTTGGAGGAGTCACATTTCCAGGGAATGATGCTCAGGATTCTGATGACCAAAAAAAAATGTTATGCTTTGTCACAAAAACATCTGCATTCCTCAAAGCTAAAGCAGTTTTCTTTCAGATGCAGCTGGTGGACATGAGGCAGAACATATGCTTAGAGACAACAATCTGTGTTACAGGAACAACGTCTAGTCATCGGACTAGATGATCTGCTCAGGTCCCTTCCCACCCTAGAAACTATGAAACTATGAAACAAAGGTGTGCCGATCCATCCTGCACCGCAGTCCTAGTGGCCTAGCAAGAGTTGGGCACTCATGTGGAAGTCGTTGTTGAGTGTTGCTCAGTTTTGGGCTGTTACAGGCTGAAAGCGCTTCTGAGTAATAATACCAAGTAACTCTGAACAGACACCCAGCAAGTTGCATACATGAAACAGGGCTGCAACTGGGACATGTTTTGGGAATGAGGAAATGGAAGCCTGCAGTTCTGCTGAATCATTCATTCATTCATTGAACTTTGTGGATAACTGGTAAACAAAACAAAACCAAAAAAAATGAAAGGATCGCCTGCAAGTAGATGCATGAATGATCCATGCTTCAATCTAACAACTAAGCAAAACCAAAGCAAATAGTCGCTTTGTTATTTCACCTTGGGAATGTCAGAAATCAGTGCCCTAGACTGGCTTTGCCACATAATCTATCAGCCTCAAACATCGAGAATTACATACCCCAAACAGAGACATGGCAGTGCTAGCCACTGCAATATTTTCTGAACCTTAATATACCAGAAAAAATGGAAGTATTCATGAAGCTTGAATGCCAGATGTCTCCATCACCTCCACTTTACCCCCAATTGAGAGAAGTAAATTAGGGGGCGTATCATATCACAAGCACCTGCTCCCATTAATTAAAGTAACTGCCTGAGCAGCAGCCTTACAAAAGTCAGCGTTCATTCTTTGATCAAGGGGTCTCGCCCAAAATGAATCTCTCCTTAGGTTGTTAATTTGCTTTCTTTTAGCAGCCGTGAAAGATGAATTTTGTACGTAGATGCAGGGCAAGTTATTTGCGTTGTTTGGATACATTCATGGAAAACTTGTTGGAAAAAAAAATAACCCACCTGCCAGTCTTGAACAGCAATAACAAAACCTAGACAGTTGCATGAAGGGATGAGCGGGACCTTTCAGTGGTAAGCCCATCAAATCATTACTGTTCTAATGATAGATAGATAGATGGAGATTTTTCTGCTAGGCAAAATCCCGGAGGGGCTGCTGCTTTTAACAGGGATATGTCCCAGAGGGGTTGCTGCTCTTGTTCCACACACGACAAAGCCAGGCCCCTCCACTCCCAAACTCAGAAGCAGAAAGTGGGCCCGCCTACCCCTACATGAAACAGCCAGCAGCCTGGCGATGGGGAAGCTCCCTTGGGACATGTCACATTTGGGTCCTGAGAAACGTTTTTGACCATCTCTGTACCCAGGTAGGTGCAATCTGCCCAACCCTCCGGGTTCTGACAAATGGAAAAACACCCTCTCTCTACTGGAACAACCCCATGCCCCAGGGCAGGGCGGGGGCGGACTGGCTAAGCAGCAGCTCTGCAGAAAAGGACCTGGGGGTGATAGGGGATAATTGGCTACATACGAGCCAACAGGGCACCGCTATTGCCAAGAAGGCCAATGGCATCCTGACTGCTGCACTGCCAGCAGATGGAGGGCAGCAACTCTTCCCCTCTATTCGGCACCAGGGAGGCCACACCTGGAGTCCTGCGTCCACTACAGAAAGGATATGGACCAGCTGGAGAGAGTCCAGAGAAGGGCAACAAATGGGCACGAGTGGTGAAGAGAGGCTGAGGGAATGGGCTCAGTCTGCAGAAGAGAAGACTGGGGGGGGGAATTTGACAGCCTTCAAGTCCCTGCAGGGGGGGGGGGGG